CTCCTACAGGACCCATTTAAAACAATATAGGGATAGGGATCTAAAACAATATAGGGACTCCTACAGGACCCATTTAAAACAATATAGAGACTCGTACAGGACCCATTTAAAACAATATAGGGACTCGTACAGGACCCATTTAAAACAATATAGAGACTCGTACAGGACCCATTTAAAACAATATAGGGACTCCTACAGGACCCATTTAAAACAATATAGGGACTCCTACAGGACCCATTTAAAACAATATAGGGATTCCTACAGGACCCATTTAAAACAATATAGGGACTTATTTAAAACAATATAGTAACTTATTTAAAACAATATAGTAACCTATTTAAAACAATATAGTAACTTATTTAAAACGATATCAGAATAAGTTATAAATGCCTATTTTTGTGTAGATACTTAATATTATATTGTATAGCAAAATATTAATTAAGCGTCAAGTGTTTGAGAAGAGTTCTATTTCGGGTAGTATTACATTTAGGGTAATGTCATGTTGCACCAAGAAGTTTAAAACTGTGTAAAGCATTATCCCTCAGAGAGCCTACATACCATGATACAGAACCACACAAAGCACTGAAGCAAAATAGTTCCTTAAATTAAACATCACCGGTGTCGCTCGATGTCTCTCAAACTCCCTAGTGATCCAGACGATCAAACTCCCTAATAATCCGCACGATCCCTAGTGATCCAGACGATCAAACTCCCTAGTGATCCAGACGATCAAACTCCCTAGTGATCCAGACGATCAAACTCCCTAATAATCCGCACGATCCCTAGTGATCCAGACGATCAAACTCCCTAGTGATCCAGACGATCAAACTCCCTAGTGATCCAGACGATCAAACTCCCTAGTGATCCAGACGATCAAACTCCCCAATAATCCGCACGATCCCTAGTGATCCAGACGATCAAACTCCCTAGTGATCCAGACGATCAAACTCCCTAGTGATCCAGACGATCAAACTCCCTAATAATCCGCACGATCCCTAGTGATCCAGACGATCAAACTCCCTAGTGATCCAGACGATCAAACTCCCTAGTGATCCAGACGATCAAACTCCCTAGTGATCCAGACGATCAAACTCCCCAATAATCCGCACGATCCCTAGTGATCCAGACGATCACACTCCCTAGTGATCCAGACGATCAAACTCCCTAGTGATCCAGACGATCAAACTCCCTGTTCAAAGGCCAGCACCTGATTGGCTGGTCGCTTAAAGCTGCAATTTTACAATGATAGGTCGAAACAGCCTTTCATATTGACAAAGGAATATGATAAAAACAGCGCGTCATCAAGCTAGAACAAAATTCAAACCAGAGTCGAATTGATACAGAATCACTATTCTTTGTTTGTTTAGTTTGCTTACTTTGGTTTAAATATCATCAATCAACTCTCAATAATATGCCCTCGCCTTGCTGGAAGATCAATATCACTGTAGTTACATGTACTTAGACAATTGACGTTATTTGTCATGAGGCAGAATATGTAAAATTGAGGTCTTTTATTGGTTCAGCGATGATAGATATAGAATTAAAGAAAAGCAATGACAGAAATACTGTATAGAGCGTAATGTACAGGATATCCGTGTTTGCGACATAAAGTTTTATACCAGACAAAACCAAAACTAGCATTATATAAAAGAAAGTAAATATTTATCGACAAAATCCTTCAAAAATAGACAGATTGTCACTTCTTTATAGCAGAAAATTTCAAAAGAAATCTTCAGTACTAACAGACCCGGGAACAGAAGTTCGGCTGATTGTTTCGGTCTAAAAGCAGACAACCTCAATAGACATCTTCACTACTGACAACCTGAAAACAGAGGTTCGGCAGATTGTCTCTGTCTAACATCAGACAACTTCAATAGACATCTTCACTACCGACAACCTGTAAACAGGAGTTAGGCAGATTGTCTCTGTCTAACATCAGACAACTTCAATAGACATCTTCACTACCGACAACCTGTAAACAGGAGTTAGGCAGAATGTTTCGGTTTTCTTCTTTAGAAATGTAATCCTTGTCTTACATCAGAGAAAAAATGTCGACATATCTGTTGAAATCTTCCAATTAATTGTAATCCACGTGACATGGTCCATGTGTTACATAAACAACAAATACCAATATGGTAATTCAATAAAACTAGAGCAAATATGAACAAAAGAATGCACTAGGAGAATTAGACCATTTGTTCCGGAAGCATAAGCGTCCTCTGCTTCATTGACGACATTGATGAAACAACTTTATGATGCAGTTTAATTGATTATTTAGCTCCATCGTATACAATAGTCAAATTGCAAGTGGTAGGCACTGCTGGTTGAGTTTTAGTTCCTGAATGTTGCGTTTCAGAACATATACACATGTATTTGACGTTCTTTTTGACGTTCAAAATTTTAAATTCCAATACAGTCGATTACAAGATGTACACCAAGTCATTATTCAAAGAGTATCAAATATACATACCATGACAAAATATGCACAAAAGAAATAAAGTATAAGGAGAATAAGGCCAGGTGTTCCGGAAGAGTAAGCGTTCTTTCTCTTCATCGACGACACCCGTCATGTAATTCTTGGTCAATCCAAGTAAGTAATGTCATGTTCTCAAATGAGAAAAAGGTATAAAACAACGGAACCAACAGGTAAATCAACGAGATTCAAATATGTCCAGCTTCATATCTCCTATAATTCGCTATGAAATCATCAAGACGACTGTAAGTAAGACGTCCCCATAATTTTCATCAACCTGCATTTTTTGAAACTCTGTGTTACGAGTTTGTCGTCCGTCAGTTGACGACTTCTTGCACGAGAATCATGATAATGGGAACAGGCTCTTGAATATTGAATCAGCTGCGACATGTAAACACCATAGGTTTGGGATTCGGTGGTATTGCTATACAGAAATAGGAAATTCCCAACATTGAAATTGAAATCAACAGCTTATAATACAGCTTATTGGAAAGCTGTCGGAATTGGTTTGATTTTGATGAAAGAAAAGGACGAGCTAAGAGACTGATGTAGTCTGTCGCGTCCTTGATTTCCAATTCTGATGAATATATAAGCAAATTTCTAGTTATGTAAAGACAAGACAACTTTGATATATCTGAACGTAAAATTAAAGGAATTTGCTGGTGACCTACTTTGACAAACTCTTCGATAAATCCACTGTCGTATTTATACTTGTTCTCAAGAATGACCTAAAGAGAGAGAAATAGATGGAAAATATATAAAATTACAAATGTGAATTAAATGTCAAATTGATGGAATATCAGAAATACGAATGATAGAATGATCAATGAAGTACCATATTGTCAGGGTTGTACGAATAAAAACAAGTGGGTGGCAACTTTTCATGCAAAGTTAGAATAAGATACAGTAGAGTTAAAATGAAGTGAACCACATATTTCATCTAGTTTGTCCTTCTAGGTGTCATCAGTGGTGTTTTGAGACCTTGTAGGCGACTAAGAAAAATCCAAAAAGAAATGTACCGGTACATCAGTGTTTGGATAAGACAATAAACCTTTATACAATGTTACACACTCTCAGGGTCATATAGAAATTTCAGGGATCTTCTGTCAGTAACTTACCATTGTTGAATAAGGCAGCGATATTGACTAACGTTAACTTGTATGCTGAATTTTAATGATTAAGCTTGAATAAATAGGAATTTGAAAGACAGAAGCAAACTACCCCATAACACCATGGACACGAAACGGGAAACACATCCGTGTGCCGCACTAGATGACAATACCTAACATTGTATTTATCTGAACAAAGAAGCAACGACCTTTCAATATATGTATTAACGCATAGAAAAACATTGAAAATCAAACACGTTATTTTATAATTAGTCTTTTTATCTTTCAGAAAAAGCTATGTATGATGTGGTCATTCCACCAATCAAACAAGTCAGAAGAGCTATTCTGATTGGATCGTCAATTATCTCACATCAAAAGATCGATAAAAACTTAAACGAATCCATGTTTTCACAAATAACCTATGATCTGAATTGTAAACGCTGGAAAAGCTACTATTGACTTGAGATGATGCCAATGTTCTACCATAAACTACAAGACAATCTAATGGTTTATGCTGAAAAAAGCTACAAGAGGCTGGCGATATAGTCAATGGTTTAATAAACATTAGAAAACATGTTGAGATAAACGCTGGGAAAGCTACTAGAGACCGGGGCTAATGTCACTGTTCTACCATACACTAGAAAACATGTTGAGATACACGCTGGGACAGCTACTAGAGACTGGAGGTAATATCACTGTTCTACCATACACTAGAAAACATGTTGAGATACACGCTGGGAAAGTCACTAGGCTGGAAATATTACCAATCGGCGTAAACTGGCAAATCAGTGATGCTACATCATACAGCTGTTTTGTCCTTCTAGAACTCGTCAGTGATGTTACATCATACAGCTCTTTCGTCCTTCTAGAACTCATCAGTGATGCTACATCATACAGCTGTTTTGTCCTTTTAGAACTCGTCAGTGATGTTACATCATACAGCTGTTTCATTCTTCGAGGACTCGCCAGTGATGCTACGTCATACATATGTTTCGTCCTTCTAGAACTCATCAATGATGCTACATAATAAAGATGTTTCGTCCTTCTAGAACTCATCAGTGAGGCTACGTCATACAGCTGTTTCATCCTTCTAGGACTCGCAGTAATGCTACGTAATACAGATGTTTCATCCTTCTAGGACTCATCAGTGATGCTAAATCATACAGCTGTTTCGTCCTTATAGAACTCGACAGCGGTGCTAAGATCATAAATTTTGAAACCTAAATGAGTTGCAGTTTGTCCCGAATTTCCGTAATTTTGTCATTTCCTATATCTGATAATTCTAAAAGCACGTTTAAGTGTATATTCATAACCGTGATACCATCGAATAAATTAAAAAATGACATGCAGATCCACCGGCAGTGTGTACCACATGAATCCGGTTGGTTGTTCAAAAGACACACAAGTGAATAAGGGCATAAGAAATCTCATACAAAATGTTTATTTCAGCATTTACATACAGTTGTAGATTACATCGATATAAGTGATGTGAGGTAACACAATAACGTTGTTCGTCAACAACCAGTCTGAATTGAAGGGGGTGATCGGGTGGTTCAGTGGTAACGCACTCGCCTTTCACGTAGCCGGCCGGGGTTCGAGTCTCGAAACGGACGTGAAAAGATAAGGGGGTCATCTGCCCGACCACGTGGGGTTTCCTCTCGCGCGCTTACATCTGGACCATTAAGTGATTATTATCAGATAAAATCGTTTGTTTAGCAATTGTTGTAGAATAGATAAAGTTATTATTTTTATAGGAAGTATTGCGCTTGACATGAGTAGACAATAGAGATCCTACAGTCACAAGAGACTAACCTGTATCACTGTGACCTATATTCACATATCCTGACAAAGCAACATCTAATTATTTCAAATGTATCAAGTTGTCATTATATATTTGTGTGATTCTGAGAGACCTCATGAATTGGTGACAATAAAACAATGCTGAAAAGTATATGGCGATGAAGTTTCTCTCAGTGGTCGGCTGAAATTAAAGTGGCATTCCGTACCATCTCGTAAACTACGTACGTCAGTGATAGTACGCTTCACAGATGAAGGTGACAAAGTAGTCATCGAAACTTCCAATCCAGATCTTCTTCTGGTTGTGTTATAAGAACCACAATGATGTCCACGATGATATCGCCCTAATGATGTTCACGGTGATATCGCCCTGATGATGTTCACGGTGATATCGCCCTGATGATGTCCACGGTGATATCGCCCTACTGATGTCCACGGTGATATCGCCCTACTGGTGTCCACGGTGATATCGCCCTACTGACGTCCACGTTGATATCGCCATGATGATGTCCACGATGATATCGCCCTACTGATGTCCATGGTGATATCGCCCTACTAATGTCCACGGTGATATCGCCATGATGATGTCCACGATGATATCGCCCTACTGATGTCCACGGTGATATCGCCCTACTAATGTCCACGGTGATATCACCCTACTGATGTCCACGGTGATATCGCCCTGATGATGTCAACGGTGATATCGCACTACTGATGTCCACTGTGCTATCGCCCTACTGATGTCCACGGTGATATCACCCTACTGATGTCCACGGTGATATCACCCTGCTGATGTCCAGGGTGATATCGCCCTACTGATGTCCACGGTGATATCGCCCTGATGATGTCCACGGTGATATCGCCCTACTGATGTCCACGGTGATATCGCCCTGATGATGTCAACGGTGATATCGCCCTACTGATGTCCACTGTGCTATCGCCCTACTGATGTCCACGGTGATATCACCCTGCTGATGTCCAGGGTGATATCGCCCTACTGATGTCCACGGTGATATCACCCTGATGATGTCCACGGTGATATCGCCCTACTGATGTCCAAGGTGATATCGTCCTGGTGATGTCCACGGTGATATCGCCCTACTGATGTCCACTGTGCTATCGCCCTACTGATGTCCACGGTGATATCACCCTGCTGATGTCCAGGGTGATATCGCCCTACTGATGTCCACGGTGATATCGTCCTGATGATGTCCATGGTGATATCGCCCTACTGATGTCCACGGTGATATCGTCCTGGTGATGTCCACGGCGATATCGCCCTGATGATGTCCACGGTGATATCACCCTGATGATGTCCATGGTGATATCGCCCTACTGATGTCCAAGGTGATATCGCCCTGATGATGTCCACGGTGATATCACCCTGATGATGTCCATGGTGATATCGCCCTACTGATGTCCAAGGTGATATCGCCCTGATGATGTCCACGGTGATATCGCCCTACTGATGTCCAGGGTGATATCGACCTACTGATGTCCACGGTGATATCGCCCTGATGATGTCCACGGTGATATCGCCCTGATGATGTCCACGATGATATCGTTCTTCTTATATCCACTGTTATATCACCCTAATGATGTCCACGGTGATATCGCCCTACTTATGTCCACAGCGATATCGCCCTACTGATGTCCACGGTGATATCGCCCTACTGATGTCCACGGTGATATCACCCTAATGATGTCCACGGTGATATCACCCTACTGATACGATATGATAAATATGGAGTTTGAGGTTGTGCATGAAGGTGATTGAATAGATATCACGGAATGTCAAATAAATAATCAGAATGGTTCTTCCATGGTTATTGAGTACTTAAACATTAAAGTAAGTTTTGGTTTCCTCATCTTTTGTCTCCCCTGCCACGCCCATTTTTTCTTCTGGTTATAAATATGGCACTGGTCATTACTGTAAAGAGAAACACATGTCAATTACAAATGTAATGAGTGACAATATATAAGTATAAACAGTAAACATTATTCATGTATAACACAAATAACAATACACCACTAAATACGCGGTAATCTCGCAAAAGTTACAACTTCTATTAATATTTGGGATTCTAAATTATATAGGGGTTGGGGGTTGGGGTTGGGGGGGGATAGCTGCTAACATGAATAATTTCTGTGTAAATATGTTGGTAAAGCCACACATAGTATCAAGTTGTTGCTACTTCACTCACCTCACACACTACTCCTGCCACTTCGTACCAGTAGCACGTGTGTCTTCCCCAACCCCGGTGAAAGCAATGGCGTACATCAGTAACATCGGGGGGACAGAAAACCATGTCCCAGCCAAACCCGTCTAATCTACCCGTGTTATACTGCCCGTGCGTCGCATTCCCTTTCCTGTACAAAATAAAAACATGCACAATTATATGTATATAAACACACAGCCATTTTCCCGAGCTAAATACACAATCACCAATGTTATAAATGTTTGAACGTTGGAAATGATAAAACAAGAACATATATATAAAAAAAAACAAAGAACGTGTATACTGCTGCTTTATCCCGCCTATGTCGCGGCCATTGCTGGAATACACCTGCCACATATATTTGTACTGTATGCGGCAGTGACAGAAAACTGTTGTATTTTAGCACGTGCATTAATTCGACAGAATTGCTGTCTGAAGTTACTGAAATATTAAGTTTAAAAATATAGATGTTTGACTAAGCAATTTTATTCATTGCAATGAGCAAGTTTATTTACGAAAATTAATAAAATTGGTGTTATATCTGTTCATGTATGGAACTATATTTCTACGCGGAGCAATATATTTTGGCGTACGTCATCAAGCAAAATCTAGCGTAATGTAAACGACAGAACTATTGAAATTTCGATTCTCTGATTTTCAAGGAATGTCTCAGAATAAATTGAATACATGATCAATGTTTTAAAACATAAGTTGCATTTTGGCACTCTGTGAGGGATTCTGTGCTGTGTGGTCCAACTATGTACCTGTATCCCAGTGTCCGACAGACGGCGCTAGCGTCATCATCACCCCACCAATCGTCACACACATCCCACCAACGTCCTCCATGATAGATGTTTACTCGTCCAGTCATGTTAGTTTCACCCCCAACAAGTCGTATCTGAAAGTCTGAACAGGACACATGCCTTTTACTTTTTTCTATGTTATGTTGATGACCACTTGACCATGAAAATGAATTCACGTGTATTTGTGATGTAACACAACATTTGATTGGACATTGGAAATAAGTTGCACAAATATAATTACGTAATACAAGTGGGATAGTCTGTTATACAATCTGGCCAAGCAGGCAGTTAACACATCATCCAGTGTCATATTTGTATTTTTGCATCACATTTCATTGCGGTGATTTTAGTCAAATTTATGTACCGTGAAAAAGAATATTAAGAATTACATAACACAAATGTATCCAACAGAAAATACTCCAAAGTACCCCAACTAAAGACTTTACTAATCCGAGAGAGAGAATGGATCCGACAGAAAATACTCAAAAGTACCCCCACTAAAGACTTTACCAATCCGAGAGAGAGAATGGATCCGACAGAAAATACTCCAAAGTACCCCCACTAAAGACTTTACTAATCCGAGAGAGAGAATGGATCCGACAGAAAATACTCCAGTACCCCTACTAAAGACTTTACTAATCCGCGAGTGAGAACGGATCCGACAGAAAATACTCCAAAGTACCCCCACTAAAGACTTTACTAATCCGAGAGAGAGAATGGATCCGACAGAAAATACTCCAAAGTACCCCCACTAAAGACTTTACTAATCCGAGAGAGAGAATGGATCCGACAGAAAATACTCCAAAGTACCCCCACTAAAGACTTTACTAATCCGAGAGAGAGAATGTATCCGAGAGAGAGAATGTATCCGACAGAAAACACTCCAGAGTACCCCCCACTAAAGACTTTACTAATCCGAGAGAGAGAATGGATCCGACAGAAAATACCCCAAAGTACCCCCACTAAAGACTTTACTAATCCGAGAGAGAGAATGGATCCGACAGAAAATACTCCAGTACCCCCACTAAAGACTTTACTAATCCGAGAGAGAGAATGGATCCGACAGAAAATACCCCAAAGTACCCACCACTAAAGACTTTACTAATCCGAGAGAGAGAATGTATCCGACAGAAAACACTCCAGAGTACCCCCACTAAAGACTTTACTAATCCGAGAGAGAGAATGGATCCGACAGAAAATACTCCAGTACCCCTACTAAAGACTTTACTAATCCGAGAGAGAGAATGGATCCGACAGAAAATACTCCAAAGTACCCCCACTAAAGACTTTACTAATCCGAGAGAGAGAATGGATCCGACAGAAAATACCCCAAAGTACCCCCACTAAAGACTTTACTAATCCGAGAGAGAGAATGGATCCGACAGAAAATACTCCAGTACCCCCACTAAAGACTTTACTAATCCGAGAGAGAGTATGGATCCGACAGAAAATACCCCAAAGTACCCACCACTAAAGACTTTACTAATCCGAGAGAGAGAGAGAGAAACAATCCAGAGTACCCCCACTAAAGACTTTACTAATCCGAGAGAGAGAATGGATCCGACAGAAAGTACTCCAGTACCCCTACTAAAGACTTTACTAATCCGAGAGAGAGAATGGATCCGACAGAAAATACTCCAAAGTACCCCCACTAAAGACTTTACTAATCCGAGAGAGAGAATGGATCCGACAGAAAATACTCCAGTACCCCCACTAAAGACTTTACTAATCCGAGAGAGAGAGTATATCCGACAGAAAATACTCCAGTACCCCCACTAAAGATTTTACTAATCCGAGAGAGAGAATGGATCCGACAGAAAATACTCCAAAGTACCCCCACTAAAGACTTTACTAATCCGAGAGAGAGAATGTATCCGACAGAAAATACTCCAAAGTACCCCCACTAAAGACTTTACCAATCCGAGAGAGAGAATGGATCCGACAGAAAATACTCCAAAGTACCCCCACTAAAGACTTTACTAATCCGAGAGAGAGAATGTATCCGACAGAAAATACTCCAGTACCCCCACTAAAGACTTTACTAATCCGAGAGTGAGTATGGATCCGACAGAAAATACTCCAAAGTACCCCCACTAAAGACTTTACTAATCCGAGAGAGAGAATATATCCGACAGAAAATACTCCAGTACCCCCAGAAAATACTCCAAAGTACCCCCACTAAAGACTTTACTAATCCGAGAGAGAGAATATATCCGACAGAAAATACTCCAGTACCCCCACTAAAGACTTTACTAAGAGAGAGAGAATATATCGACAGAAAATACAGTACCCCCACTAAAGACTTTACTAATCCGAGAGAGAGATTGTACCCCCACTAAAGATTTTACTAATCCGAGAGAGAGAATGGATCCGACAGAAAATACTCCCGTACCCCCACTAAAGACTTTACTAATCCGAGAGAGAGAATGTATCCGACAGAAAATACTCCAAAGTACCCCCACTAAAGACATCATTGAAAGTCCTGTCTCCGTTCCATAGCAAGATTTTAAAATCGACAAATCTCTTTAAGGACCAACAACTGTTTCTGTTTGTGGTGATCAAAAGTAGATTCATCGATACCTGATTCGTTTTCCGTGTAACATCGCACTGACGCGTCCATGGAAGTTGTCCGACACTGATGGGCTTCTTCGCCCCATACAAGGCCTGCACACTCCCCAAGACGAGGCTCTTTACCCCCACAGCTCAGTTCACTCAACCAGATCGGTCCGGGCGGACGTGTCCCGAAATTATATCTTGCCGGCCACATCATCGCCTCGCCGCCATGACTGTTAGGACAGAATCGTATATTAAAAGTACAGCGTATTCGTCATTGCTGAAGTAAACCATTATGTAAATCTATCAGATAGGACAGGACAAAGAAAGCAAGGGGTGAATATAACCGTCCAAATAAGGGATATATTGGTAAAACATATCACACGCCACTTTGCCACGGGAAAAAAATAGCGGGTTCCATTTCCTGGGGTCTGTAATAAACAACTAATTATCGCCTCAGTTCAGATGGGTATAAGTTAATACAGCAATATATACTTCTAAACTATTACCTCAAGGGCTTGTTGTATTGATAGATGTAGATTTAAAGGCTAAATCGACCATCGGTTTGTGGTGAATTCAATAGATAAACTTTATTTATTTTACAACAATGAGGAACAAGTTTTTCAACTTATACTAGTCACTCTAGATGGCCCGGATGTAAGACCGCGATCGGTTTTATTGTGAGAGGAAACCGGATTACCTGGGGAAAACCCACGTGGTCGGGCAGTTGACCGCTTACCTTTTCACGTTCCAGGAATCAAACTAGGTGAAAGGCGAGTGCGTTACCACTGCGCCACCGACCACCCAATCAACTGAATGCATCCAATCACTGATTAGTGTTCACATCAACTAATTTATCATTATTCTGAGATATTTTTGAAACAGTACTAAGATTCCAAAATTGTTTCTTACATCACTGCAAGCCTAAGACTATATAAAGTATGTTTATAAACGCTATCGTAAGCATGCACCTCAATCTAGGCCCACGACCTGAGGTTCCCGAGTTCGAATCATACCGGCAACATTCCTTCGTTTCCATGATATTTTCACGTGATATGTTATTAACTTTTACCTATAGCCGAGTTGACGACAGATGACAGCCGCATCCCTAGGGTCCCAGTCCTGATTACACACTGTGCCCCATTGTCCATTGTGTTTTACCTGAACACGCCCCTCGTGAGGCCCGGTACCTCCGATCAGTCTGACAGGTACATCTGATTAAAGATTAACTCTAAGTATCAGTACCTGGTACATTACAATACTCTTCATTCGTTGTATCAGTTATGACAGCACATATAACAAAAATAACAATTGATGTGAATATATTTTGCACTTTGGATACAATAAGGGAACCACTCATCTGGCAAAGGAAGTGAAGTAATTGGCAGAACGACAAATCTGACGAAGGAAGTGAAGTACTTGGCAGAACGACACCTCTGACAAAGGATGTGAGGTATTTGGCAGAACACCACATCTGACAAAGGAAGTGAAGAACTTGGCAGAACGACACGTCTGACAAAGGATGTGAAGTAGTTGGCAGAACGACACATCTGACAAAGGAAGTGAAGAACTTGGCAGAACGACACGTCTGACAAAGGATGTGAAGTAGTTGGCAGAACGACACATCTGACCAAGGATGTGAGGTATTTGGCAGGACGACACATCTGACAAAGGAAGTGAAGTACTTGGAAGAACGACACATCTGACAAAGGAAGTGAAGAACTTGGCAGAACAACACATCTGACCAAGGATGTGAGGTATTTGGCAGGACGACACAACTGACAAAGGAAGTGAAGTAGTTGGCATAACACCACATCTGATAAAGGAAGTGAAGTAGTTGGCAGAACAACACATCTGACAAAGGAAGTGAAGTAATTGGCAGAACGACACATCTGACAAAGGATTGAAGTATCTTGTAGAACGACACATCTGACAAAGGAAGTGAAGTACTTTGCAGAACGACACATCTGACAAAGGAAGTGAAGTAATTGGCAGAACGACACATCTGACAAAGGAAGTGAAGTAATTTGCAGAACGACACATCTGACAAAGGAAGTGAAGTACTTGGCAGAACGACACATCTGACAAAGGAAGTGAAGTAGTTGGCATAACACCACATCTGACAAAGGAAGTAAAGAACTTGGCAGAACGACACATCTGACAAAGGAAGTGAAGTAATTGGCAGGATGACACATCTGACAAAGGAAGTGAAGTAATTTGCAGAACGACACATCTGACAAAGGAAGTGAAGTACTTGGCAGAACGACACATCTGACAAAGGAAGTGAAGTAGTTGGCATAACACCACATCTGACAAAGGAAGTGAAGAACTTGGCAGAACGACACATCTGACAAAGGAAGTGAAGTAATTGGCAGGATGACACATCTGACAAAGGAAGTGAAGTAGTTTGCAGAACACCACATCTGACAAAGGAAGTGAAGAACTTGGCAGGACGACACATCTGACAAAGGAAGTGAAGTACTTGGCAGAACGACACATCTGACAAAGGAAGTGAAGTACTTGGCAGAACGACACATCTGACAAAGGAAGTGAAGTAATTGGCAGAACGACACATCTGACAAAGGAAGTGAAGTACTTGGCAGAACGACACATCTGACAAAGGAAGTGAAGTAATTGGCAGAACGACACATCTGACAAAGGAAGTGATGTACTTGACAATGCCTTTTTTGTCAATGGCCCTGGAAAACCGCTGGATAAATTCAGTTTTGTGTGAGAATATTTAATGTATCCTAGCGTTGTTATAGAATTTGTCCTTGTGTGTATATAAAAGACAAGTTAAATTGCCGTTTATATTGATCACGAACTTTTGTGTCGTATGCAAATAAAATAAATAAAATAAATTCTTTTTTCGGAATATTGTATAGGAATGACTACAATAGCATGTCCCTATTGATCAAAGTTAGTCAAGGCAAAGAAAAAAAATCATATTTCTATAGGGAAAACGGTCTTGTTTTTCTGTCTTTCTGTTCCACTCCATACCTGAAATAATCATATAATGCTCTACAATATTATCGTTCTAAATTAGAACATAGTTCTTTACAATTTAAACGTTCTTGATGAGTTCTTTAGTGCGAATTTATTCTAAAATAGCAAAATGTGTAGTGTAAAACACTGTTCTAAAACATCCTGCAATTATTTGCTGTGAAGACCTAAAAATCAAATAGATCTTTATAAAAGAAGCCTATATTAGCGTATCGGTCTTTGGTAAGGAATGGTTCTCACTAAGACTGCAGTTCTTTGGTTGGTAAGGAATTGTTCTCACTAAGACTACAGTTATTTGGTTGGAAAGGAATTGTTCTCACTAAGACTACAGTTCTTTGGTAAGGAATGGTTCTCACTAAGACTTCAGTTCTTTGGTAAGGAATTGTTCTCAATAAGACTACAGTTCTTCGGTTGGTATGGAATGGTTCTCACTAAGACTACAGTTCTTTGGTTGGTATGGAATGGTTCTCACTAAGACTACAGTTCTTTGGTAAGGAATTGTTCTCACTAAGACTACAGTTCTTTGGTTGGTATGGAATGGTTCTCACTAAGACTACGGTTCTTTGGTAAGGAATGGTTCTCACTAAGACTACAGTTCTTTGGTTGGTAAGGAATTGTTCTCACTAAGACTACAGTTCTTTGGTTGGTATGGAATGGTTCTCACTAAGACTACAGTTCTTTGGTAGGTATGGAATGGTTCTCACTAAGAGTCCATTCTTTGGAAAGGAATGGTTCTCACTAAGACTACAGTTCTTTGGTAAGGAATGGTTCTCGCTAAGACTACAGTTCTTTGGTAAGGAATGGTTCTCGCTAAGACTGCAGTTCTTTGGTAAGGAATGGTTCTCACTAAGACTGCAGTTCTTTGGTAAGGAATGGTTCTCACTAAGACTACAGTTCTTTGGTAAGGAATGGTTCTCACTAAGACTACAGTTCTTTGGTTAGGAATGGTTCTCACTAAGACTACAGTTCTTTGGTTAGGAATGGTTCTCACTAAGACTACAGTTCTTTGGTAAGGAATGGTTCTCGCTAAGACTGCAGTTCTTTGGAAAGGAATGGTTCTCACTGAGACTACAGTTTGGTATGGAATGGTTCTCACTAAGACTACAGTTCTTTGGTAAGGAATGGTTCTCACTAAGACTACAGTTCTTTGGTTAGGAATGGTTCTCACTAAGACTACAGTTCTTTGGTAAGGAATGGTTCTCACTAAGACTACAGTTCTTTGGTTAGGAATGGTTCTCACTAAGACTACAGTTCTTTGGTATGGAATGGTTCTCACTAACACTGCAGTTCTTTGACATGGTATTATTCTAAAATAGCATACAGTTTTTTCGTATTGGTACTAAAATACCATACTCTTTTTGGAATGTTAGGGTTCTGCAGCTTATTATCATCATAAAATCCGATAAGGATCTACATTGCTTATAACTTGTGATAAGATTTGATTTAACTGGCAAAGTTATTTATAAATTTACCTTCTGAGGGTGTCATTCTGCACGCCACACCGACATCCGCGTCATGGTTACAGATCCTCGGTGGGGTTTCACTCCATCCCGTATGGCTGCACTGATCAAGATTCATGGCATCCCATGGGCAGTCAAGGTCCACCATAATAGGTCCACGCCCAAACCCGTATGTCAGTTTGGGCTGGAGTATTCCGCCATGACTAAAGGGTAACCAAAGACATTAAAGCAACCGTACACAAAACGTGAATTTCCAATCATGGAATTTCTAATGAAACGAGTCTTAGATTAATATTTGCTTCACCAAACCTCTTGCGAGACAAAAATGCACGCATCACTGTCGTGTAATAAAACATTGTTCACACATTTTGCACGGATAGTGAGTATTCTTATTGGTTCACCTGTATCCAAGTAGTTCGCAGACAAGTTTTGCTTCAGCAGCTCCAAATAACACATCACAGACAGTCCCCCATACGCCATCGTGGAATACTTCCACCCTCCCCTCTGCTTCAATGGGAGATTGTACCAGCCGGACAGGAACCTCTACATCTCGTCTAGATCCACCTGATATTGTAACAAAAAACAAATATCTTATTTTCATAAATAATTTACGATAATGTAGCTGTTATATAGAAATAAAGCCTATTATTTTCACTGTAAATAAAATTTATCTCTATGTCAAATACATCAAACAAACTAAGAGAATGAAGATATGTATTAAGCTATTTCACTAAGATGTTCTGTTAGTATATAACGTGGGGGAAATGCCGCTCCAAATTCACCAGACGTCGTACAAACAAGAAAACAGTCACTGCGCTATCAAAACTCTTTAGAACTAAAGAAGTAAAAATACGATACTTTTCCCTACAAAACGAATCACAGATTAACATCAATACTCTGCTCGTTTGCCCCCTCCCTCCCTCCGTTGACCAAACCATCAATCGAACCATTATAGTGGTGACGATAAGCGTCTTGATGTGATATTGAATTAGTGTATATCGTCTCATTCTCCACCTCTATCGTCTGTCAAGAGAGCGAAAGGAAGGGCGGTAACTCTGGGAGATCAGAATGATATTATCTTAGATTTGTTTATAACGGGATCAGGGGTCTAGTGACACAATCAATGTATTATTTATAGAAACAGAGTAAAATAATGAAAAGACGACTTTTGTTTTAATTGCTCTCAATCTCATTCGATAAAAGTAAACGAAGGATATTTTCCATATAGAATAGCAATTTTACTTATTTTTGTAGATTTTGCAATGACATGCTCAAGTCTATGAAATATATTGCACCAGAAGTGTTGATAGGAATGAGCTTCGTATTAAGATTAAGATTGTTTGAACTGAAACTTCAACAGTATTGTATATTAGCGGACGCGAAGTGTCGTATGCATTGTACATTGTAGTTCCGGTAGTACCATATAATTCCCATCAGCTTTTACTTTGTAGATTTTGCAATGACATGTTCAAGTCCATGAAATATATATATATTCCCATCGGCTCCTCTCTCCTGTATAGCTATAATTAAACCATTAACCAACTATAAGATATATAAAACATTGTATTTACCGTGGTCAGCAGTGCTTTCAGTGAAATTCCGGATTACTGACGGATGGACAAATCCTGTAAATATGGCCAATGAACACACAATAAAGATGATGGCCTCCATCGGTCAGACAGGTCTAGTCTCCACCTCCTTCTATCACGTCTACTCTGTTATAATGTTGCGGATTTTGACAGCGAACAGCTGCACCTCGTGCTGGGTTGTTGCCGCTGTCTAATTAATCAGCCACGCTGGCTATCTCGTATTTGTTAACTTAACAAAGTTGTGAATATCAAACGTTTCCTTGACAATACGCTCCCGTGTCTTCCATTTTTTTGTCAATGTGTAGTTTTCACGAAACATGAAATCATTTCAAGTTCTTTTGACTGTTTATGTTTTGTTACGATTAAAAGAGAGTGAGGTCAGTCTCAAGCTGATTACAGGGTTTTGTAAAATGTTATTGGACTGTGCTCGGTATCAGTGATGTAAGCAAGAGTTTCTGATACCAGGACAAAGAGGGGAGGGGATGTAAGATCAATGGATTGTATACGAGATTCTGATACCAGAACAGAGGGCAGAGAACGCTCGTACCTATGGATTATATATATAACACGAGAATCTGATACCAGGACAGCGGGGGTTGACGTATCAAAGTATTGTGTACAAGTTTCTGATACCATGACAGAGAGGCGAAGGGTGACGTATCAAAGTATTGTGTACCAGTTTCTGATACCATGACAGAGAGGCGAAGGGTGACGTATCAATGTATTGTGTACAAGTTTCTGATACCAGGACAGAGGGGTGACTTATAAATGTATTGTGTACAAGTTTCTGATACCAGGACAGAGGGGCGAAGGGTGACGTATCAATGTATTGTGTACAAGTTTCTGATACCAGGACAGAGGGGGTGACGTATCAATGTATTATGTACAAGTTTCTGATACCAGGACAGAGGGGCGAAGGGTGACGTATCAATGTATTGTGTACAAGTTTCTGATACCAGGACAGAGGGGGTGACGTATCAATGTTTTATGTACAAGGTTCTGATACCAGGACAGTGGGGGTGACGTATCAATGTATTGTGTTCAATTTTCTGATACCAGGACAGCGGGGGTGACGTATCAATGTATTGTGTACATTTTTTCTGATACCAGGACAGAGGGGTTGACGTATCAATGTATTGTGTACAAGTTTCCGATACGATGACAGAGGGGTTGACGTATCAATGTATTGTGTACAAGTTTCTGATACCAGGACAGAGCGGGTAACGTATCAATGTATTGTGTACAAGTTTCTGATACCAGGACAGTGGGGCGAAGGGTGACGTATCAATGTATTGTCTACAAGTTTCTGATACCAGGACAGAGGGGCGAAGGGTGACGTATCAATGTATTGTGTACAAGTTTCTGATACCAGGACAGAGGGGGTGACGTATCAATGTATTGTGTACCTGTTTCTGATACCAGGATAGAGCGGAGAGACCTCTCGTATCAATGGAATATTGGGGGAGATTTAAAAAGAGTAATGGGGAACGGAAAACAATATAGAGATGAAAGATTTACATGTTGGGGAGGGAAGAATTACACATTTACACTAATTCACAGTATACATATTAATGGATTTTTCTATATAAATATCCATGTCCATATATATTTACTGTAGTGTATCTATGACATATATTAGGAATATGAAGTTCTAGTAGCCTAAATCTGTACCTATGACATAAATAAGGAATATGAAGTTCTAGTAGCCTAAATCTGTATCTATGACATATATTAGGAATATGAAGTTCTAGTAGCCTAAATCTGTACCTATGACATAAATAAGGAATATGAAGTTCTAGTAGCCTAAATCTGTATCTATGACATATATTAGGAATATGAAGTTCTAGTAGCCTAAATCTGTACCTATGACATATATTAGGAATATGAAGTTCTAGTAGCCTAAATCTGTACCTATGACATAAATAAGGAATATGAAGTTCTAGTAGCCTAAATCTGTACCTATGACATAAATAAGGAATATGAAGTTCTAGTAGCCTAAATCTGTATCTATGACATATATTAGGAATATGAAGTTCTAGTAGCCTAAATCTGTAAACTTCCATGTGATGATTGTTGAAACATTTGACTCCTTTTCGAAAGCAGTTTAAAAGCAAAACACCTCAGATTGGTTTTCTTATATGGTATCTGAAAATATCTATGTATTTTCATTAATTGTACATTTTTTTCATAAATAAAGTCATTCTTTCAACTATATACGTCTCTCCATCCTTAAAATGCAATAGAAAAAAACTGGAGTTAAAAACAGTACTATGAAAATGTTAAAAATTTGTTCTATTTCCCAAGGTAGCACAGCTACTATTTAAAAAAAAACACATCAAGAAATATTAATTAGAATATTAAGGACCCCGAGATATGACAAGATCATGATGACGGAAAAATACAGGAGGCTGTAATCTCCCAAATGTACATGCACATTATATTGAATCAAACTGCCTTTCAGAAAAACACAACTTGTGGCATGATGATAAAGCTGATGTTGATGAGAATACATCTAAACGGTTATTATCGACAGACAAATGTGTCCCGCTCTACTTCAGTATTCCAAAACAAACCAATTAAATTCAAAACTTTTATTCTATATGAAAGCAAATGTACAATAATTTATTAAATTGGTATCATACCTAACAATCTTAAATTAGAACATTTACTCGATGATGACTTAGCGAAGTATTATGGATAAACATGGGTAAATTTGTTCAAAGCCGCATTTGAATAAGCTGATTGAAACAGTTCAAGAGGTCCGAATTATTCCATGATAAACAAATGCACAGGTACAAGGTGTTGGAACCAACATATGTTAATATCAAAATGCACAGCTTCAGAATTTCTAGTCAAATTTCTAACTCATACTTTATAGAATAACATTTCCGAAAAGATTTGCTTGCATCGACCCTGCTTTATGCTGAAATTCTGAAAACTAATGATATTCAGCAAGTTAGTTATGGACCCTTCAGACATGCTGAAGATCTGTACCTGCTGGCTTGTCTCTTGGAGTTTCATTCGGTCCAACCATTTCAACCGCTTACCCTAAAGCGACCCTTGTATTAAAATCTTCATCATTATGTGAGTAGGACAGTAGACATCAAACAATAATCATAGCCAGAATGCTGTACTGATGACTATAATGCAGTTTCAATTTATTGTTGATGTGTTTAGACCAAACAGGAAATCATAATAGAAACAAGAGGCCCATGGGCCTTAACGGTCATCTGACAAAAAGCAAGCCAAACCTAGAAAGTGGGTTGAGGTCATTCATTTGAACAAACTTGGTAGCCTCTCCTCCAAGCATCTTACAGGCCCAATATCAGCACTCATGGACTTTTGCTTGTTGAGAAGAAGTCGTTTGTATATTCTAACATATTTGACCCCTGTGACCTTGAAAGTGGGTTGAGGTCATTCATTTGAATAAACTTGGTAGCCTTTCCTCCCAGCATGCTACAGACCCAATATCGGCACTCATAGACTTTTGCTTATTGAGATGAAGTCCTTTGTATATTTTAACATATTTGACCCCTGTGACCTTGAAAGTGGGCCAAGGTCATTCATTTGAACAAACTTTGTAGGGCTCCATGCCAGCATGCTATGGGCCAAGTATTAGCCCCCTAGGCCTTCTAGTATTTGAGAAGAAGTTATTTAAAGATTTTGACATATTTGACCCCTGCGACCTTGAAAGTTGTTCAAGGTCATTCATTTAAATAAACTTGGTAGCCTTTCCTCCCAGCATGCTACAGACCCAATATCGGCACTCATAGACTTTTGCTTATTGAGATGAAGTCCTTTGTATATTTTAACATATTTGACCCCTGTGACCTTGAAAGTGGGCCAAGGTCATTCATTTGAACAAGTTGTAGGGCTCCATGCCAGCATGCTATGGGCCAAGTATTAGCCCCCTAGGCCTTCTAGTATTTGAGAAGTTATTTAAAGATTTTGACATATTTGACCCCTGTGACCTTGAAAGTTGTTCAAGGTCATTCATTTAAACAAACTTGATAGCCCTTCATCCCAGCATGCCACAGGCACAATATCAGCAATCTGAGCCTTTTGGTTATTGAGAAGAAGTTGTTTAAAGATTTTAACATATTTGACCCCTGTGACCTTTAAAGTGGGTCAAGGTCATTCATTTGAACAAACTTGGTAGTCCTTCATCCCAGCACGCTACAGGCCTTATTTTAGTTGCCTGGGCCTTTTGATTACTGAGAAGAAGTCCTTTGAAGATTTAAAGACATTTGACCCCTGTGACCTTGAATGAAGGTCAAGGTCATTCATTTGAACAAACTTGGTAGGGTTTCATCAAAGCAAGCTACAGGCTAAATATTAGTTGCCTGGGCCCTCCAGTTATTGAGAAGAAGTCGTTTGAAGATTTTAAGACATTTGACCCCTGTGACCTTGAATGAAGGTCAAGGTCATTCTTTTTAACAAACTTGGTAGGGCTTCATCAAAGCAAGCTACAGGCCAAATATTAGTTGCCTGGGCCTTCCAATTATTGAGAAGAAGTCGTTTGAATGAAAAGTTTACAGACGGCGCACGGCGGACGGCGCACGGCGCACGGCGGACGACGACGGACGAAGCATGATGACTATAGGTCATCGGACCCTTCGGGTCAGATGACCTAAAAATCCTACAGGATGGAGTGTATCTGCAACATTTAGCAAACGTAATACTTAATTGTTTAAATTCTTTCACAATAGTACTGGTCATCACTTCCATTGTGTAGGATCACAAAACATTTAAGAGATGCCAGTGAATATCTACCAACTTCATCCAGTTGGTTATCCTTAAATTTCTAGGAAGTAACCCGAACAGCTGAACTGTTTTTCTCAGACTTGCTTTGATATTCTTAACGTTTAGAAAATTACCATTTCTCAGACAATGATACAATCTAAACACATAATCAAAGAATTTCTTCCTTCAATTTACCAATAAGATGGGAATGTAAAACAGGAATAACTACAGAGTATCTCTAATGTCAATATTTACTTGGTAAATAAATAAAAAATACAACAAAGTCTGATTACCTATGTCATAATATACAAACATCAATATCCAGATTTAATATCAAAA